CCTGTGAGAGCCTGTCACAATGCAATTTTGTGTGAACACCGGCAGCAGCCCCAGCCGCCATGGGCGGGCGGCGGCTGTCGCCGCGCCGCCACCGCTGCCCGCTCCCCTCCCTCTCCCTCTCCCTCGCTTTGCCTCGCACCCTCAGCTGCATCTATTACAAGAGGAAACGGCAAGCAGCATGGGATCTCTGAACAGGCATCCATGCAACATGGCGCTAGATCAACTTTGGCGGGCTGTATTCGGCGGCGCATCCTGGCCGTCCTACACTCCAGGGCCCAGCCAGGGGCAGCAGGCTGCTGGTTTAGGGGTGCGCAGCGGCCGCGGCGGCACGCAGGCGCCGACACTCCGGCTTGTGCGCATGCCAGTGCGCGCGTTGGCAGGCCTCGCTGCAGTACCGCACAGCCTGGCACCTGCAGGCAGGAAACAGCTGAAGCAGTGCAGGCAGTGAACGAAGGCATGCAGGCACAGCTGGTGCTGTCCCTGCCCCTCCACACAAACAGCGCTTACCCGGTACATAGCTTCAGACGACGTGTGTTGGCGCAGCCATCAGCTGCACACACCCTGGCAACAGCTGTTGCTGCCACAGTGGGGCCAGCAGGCTCTGCTGCACCTAAGGCAACCACCGGGGGTGTGAGTGCTGCTGCTGGGTCGCCTGCAGTCGCCGCACTCCCTTCTGCTGCGCTCTCAGGAGAGGGCACGCCAGCCGCAGCCTGGCCGTTGTCAGCCAGTCCCCGCAATGCAGCAGCTGCAGCCTCCCGTGCCGTGTCGCTTGGGCTGCTGCGGTGCAACTGCTGCAAAGCAGGGATGCCGCCAGCTGCTGCAATGGCTGCACTGCTGTCAGGGCTGCTGCACGCCAGGCAGCAAAGCGCCCTGGCTGCTTCCTCCTGTGCAACGGGGCAGCTGTTCAACAGGCCCTTGAGCAACAATTGAATACCGCCGGCTGCACCAATGGCGGCTCTGTTGTCGGCGCTGTCAGAGGCCAGATTGCCCAGCAACTTGGCGGCCATCTCCACTGCCTCGCAGTTGCTGCTGCGCAGGCACAGCACTAAGGCTGGGATGCCGCCAGCTGCGGCGATCGCTGTCCTGTTGCTGGCGCTGCGGCAGGATAGGTCCAACAGCACCCCACAAGCGTTCACCTTGCTGCCGCTGCTGCCGCTGCGAAGGCATTGCACCAAAGCTGGGACGCCGCCAGCTGCCACAATGGATGCTTGGCTGGCAGGGCTGCCTTCAGAGAGGCTCCAGAGTGCACCGGCGGCTTGCTCCTGCACCGCCTCGCTGCTGCTGTGCACTCGTGCACCAGGCAAT